TGCTTGACAAATTACATGTCCCTTCCAAGTGATACTGCTTTTGGCTCTGTAATGTGATTAGTAAACAGAGCAATTTAGGGCAGAGCATTCTTGTGGAAGAAATCTGTAATGTAGGTTACATTAGAAATCCATCGGGATGGGCTTGTCTGGAGAAGCAGATGGAGTTTGTTGATGATAGCCAAGTTCATGTTGTTTTTCTATGCACCTTGTTTGGGAGATTGTTGAGGTCAAGGTTGAAATAATTTAGGACAGATTTTAGGGCAAGTAGCCAAATGTAGAGAGCATACGACTTTGGCTTAAATCTTGGATTTAGATGAGTCAAAGTGAAACATCAATTCCACCTAGAAAAGGGGCTCGTAAAAGCTGGCAGGCAGTGTCACAGTGAAGACAGGAAACAAAAAGCAAAAACCACAGACGTAGGGATTGTCATCCGAAGGCATTTAAAAAAGATTAGTATTTTATTGTGTGGAGGTATTTCGCCTGCATGTTTATCTGTGTGCTACATGCATGCAGTGCCTGTGGAGGCCAGAAGAGAGTGTTGGATCCCCTGGAACAAGAATTACAGAAAGTTGTGAGTCATCACAGAGGTGTCGGGAATTGAACCCAGTTCCCCAACTGCTGAGCCATCTCTCCAACCTCCATCCAGTAGGATATCGTTGATATTTGGTATCGAGCGTGGTTGTTACAGCAGATTTATAATGGATCAGGTACAAGATGGTGAGAGACAGAATGGTCCAGTTTTTGAGGTTGCTATAGTCTAGCACCCTGGAGAGCTCCCTTTGAAGTCCCATGGCTGGGTCTGTGGAATGCTGGAAGACTTCTCTCCACTAAGACCCCAGAACTGGGTAGTCTTTGTTGGAAAGGTCTTCACTTATTATGATAAATTTTGTACTCAAGGAGCCAGGGACCTCATTGTTCACCCAAGAATATTTGGATCCTGAGTCAGAAGGAAAAAGTATCTCTTCTAAACTAATTGGAGTTTTCACAGGATCCCCCAAGCTGAGTAGCGGTAGTTCAGTTAGAGATGAATAAAAATAACAAGAAGTGTTAATATGTCCACTGCTTGATATGTAGTGCTCTATGTTGAAAAATTAGATGCCTGCATATTGATCTGGCTTTATTTATTGTTTTGTTTTCCTAAACAGGTGACTTAAGGCAAACAGTTGCTCTTCTTTCGGTTTAATTTTTTGATTATATGAAAGAATTTTGAGTTAAAGGACTCATCATCATCATCATCATCATCATCACCATCAATTCATGTGTGTGAGCTCATGTGCACGCATCTGCATGCCACAGTGTGCATGTAGAAGTTGGAGAAGAACTTGCAGGAATCAGTTCTGAGGGTCAACTCAGGTCGTCAGCCTTGCATGGGAAGTGCTTTTGCCCACTGAGTCATTTCACCAAGCCATCTAGAATCTCATGCAGTTTGAAAATGGAAATGACATTAATCTGTTTAACACAGTATTTACTCCATGGCAAAGCCTGTGTTGTGTGCTGAAAAGTTAATCAATGAGTCAGATACTGACAGACCTGTCCTGGTTTGAGCTGTTATCTCATCCAGGATCAATTTGTGTTCATTGATTTTCATCTGTGGTGTAGAAGACACTTTAATTTTTTGCATGGCAGAGTTGGGTTAAAACATTACAAAAAAGCAGGCATGATGGCACACACCAAGTACATTCCAGTACTTGGGATGAAGATTGTAAGTTCTAGGCTAGCCCAGGCTACCTAGTAAAGCTCTGTCTTAAAAACACAAAATGAAACTAAACAACAACAAAGCTAAGTAAAATAAAGCAACTCTGAAGTTTAAGGATGAGCTGAGACTTAACAGATAAGTACATGTTATATATTTAAGTACAAATCAAGTTCTCAACTCAGTTCTAACAGGCACAGGACAAGAAATATAGTGCTAACTCCGAGCACCTGACCCATCACTGCACTCAGCTCCAATCTGGGCATCTCACAGGGTGATCATTTCTTTCACTGTCAGTTCCACTCATTTGGAATCAGCTAGGAAATAAACTCCAGGATGCGTCTGTAAACAAGTTTCCAGAGCGGCTTAACTGAGGTAAGACTCACCCTGACTATGGGCAGCACCATCTCATAGGCTAAATATGAAGAAAGAGAGGAGGAAGCCATGTGGTCATCCAACATTCCTCTCTCCGCTTCCTGACAACGGCTACCAGGTGACCACATGCTTCACTCCCCAGCCACTGTGGTTACACCACCATAATGGGCTGTGCTCTCACATTGTGAGCCTTTCTGGAGTTTTGAGGTATTTTTTATCATCACAGCAATGAGATAGACAAATATACATAGATACACAGTAACAGTAGTCACAAGGTGAGAAAAGGCTTTTCTGTCCCTAAGATGTGTCCACATAGCTTTACAGTGTAAATGATGAGATGGGAAGTACTTCCTTAATGTCTTTGGATTGCAGCTCCTCATTCATTCCCCTTCCACTTGCTCCTTTGAGAGCAGAGTGTGTCTCACACAACATGGTATTTATTTCTGTATACCTAGTCCATAAATCTTAGAGTTGCAAGTGACAAGCAATTTAATAAATTTGGAACAACACCTGACTGGACAGAAGTAAATGTTAACAGAAGACATAGTTTTTGTTGATAACCAGTAAGTTAGCTAGTAAGTACCAAGGTCATTGTGGGCTACATTAGCAGAAGATGTAGACCCTGGGCAGTAAGAGAATTCAGTTCTATATCAGATGGCTGCATTCCCAAGCAGGGTATACTATTCTAGATAGCACTTGTAATGAGAGATGAAAAAACTGGAGATTATCCAAAGAAGAATGGACAAATGGGTGGCAGGACAACAGAGGAGTTAGCGGCATCCACTTTAGAGTCAGACTGTCAGTTCCAATCTTTGACACTTACCATGTCACCCCAGAGAAGTCACTTAATCTACCACAGGTTCGGTTTTCTCACCTATACACTGAAACTAATAACAGCACCTATCTCATGGGCCTCCAAGGATTATAGCTATGATGATATATTTTGATTTACAGTTGAAAGAACTGGCATTTAGTCTGAAATGTTGAAGATTTGGGAACTGGGGTTGGTGCGAATAGGAGGTGATATATCTCTCTAAGTATTTGGATGGACGCCATTGGGAAATTTTACTAGAATTACTCTCATTAGATTCAAATGACAGAATTCAGTAAAAAAGAGATTTGTAAGGAATGAGATGAAATAGCTTCAACACATGACAAAATTTTTTGATAGTTCAAATTGATGAAAATAGAACTCAAGCCTCTAAACGAGGTGGTGGTGTTCAGACTGAAGCGAGTTCAGGTGCCTGATTTCTATGTCTTTGGGATGGTACAGAGGGGAGCCCTGTACTGGTCACTGGCCAAGTGAGTTTGGACTCTTAGGAGTCCTCAGACTGTGTCTGAGAATAATTTAGGGGTTGAGCTCAGGATTCACTACCTGGCAAGCACCTTAGCTGATTCTGATAAACCAGTTTCCAGTGGGCTGTTTAGCTCCCATGGGACTGGAGGACGGGGGCTCCTTTCCCCTGTGTGAGGCCAAGATTGAATTCCACGGAGAAAGTTCTCCAAGGAGGGACAGGAAAACAAGTAAGGACGGCTGAGGGTGTGACTCAGTTCAAGAAGCTTGCCTAGCAAACAGAAGTTCTGAATTTGATCCGCAGCGCTACAAAAACGGGGTGTGGCGCATACGTTTAACCCCAGCACTCGGAGCTGTAGAGGCTGAAGAAGCCCTGCTGCAGCAGGATTACTCAGAGGGTGAAAATCAAGGTCGTCCTCAGCTACAGGGCTGGTCTGAAGCCAGCCAAGGCTACATGAGACCCTGTCTCAGTAAAGGAGAAGAGAAAAGAAAGAGGAGAATACAAGTGGCAGGCACGTGTTGGAGGTACTCAGTTAGAAGGAGCCGCCGGGGTAAGGCGTGTAACGAGAAGGCAAGGGCAGTGTGTGGAGAGCGTTAGCAGCTAGGGAGAGAGCTGGCAGGTCACCCAGCTAGGTCTCTGTGACAGATGAAGCACTCATGAAGACTCTCCGTGTGGAGGGATGAAGTTAACGATGAGTGAAAGCAGTTGCAGACCCAGTACTCCTTCCTTCTGTGTTGGGGGTTGGTGGAAAACGTCCCCCATAGACTCCTGTGTTGAACACTTGGTCTTCAGAGGGTGGCAACGTTTTGGGAAGTTGTGTCACCTAGATAAGACGGGTCCCAGCTGGAGAAAGTGGGTGACTGCTGTGTGTGGGAGTAGGGGTGAGGTTTATAGCCGAGCCTCACTTCCTGTCTCCTCTCTGGTTCCTGATCCTCCCAGATGTGGGCAAACTCTTGCCTCCTGCCTTCCCAGCCACCATGGACTGTGTTCCTTTAAACCGTGAGTCACATGAAATGTTTCCATCTTCATTCGCTTAAGGCGGGTTCTTTTTCACAGCGTGGGACAGATGACTGATGCTCTCAGTGTTCTCGAGCCAGGGCTCTGGAGCTTGAATTGTCACCTTTTCATGCCTGTGCCATACTTAATTATACATTGTGTGGCTAACGGCCCCAAACCTTAATGCTCCCTTCCATTCACAGTAGACAGGAAGGTGGGGCATTCTGTGATGTCATTCTCCCAGCTCCAGAGGACACAGGAAGCACTCAGAGGTCCATTCAACACAAAATTGACACACCACAGGACTGGAAACCAACAACCAAAGTTTTCTCTTAAATGACAAGTTCTTCTGCCTGTGGCTAGCCCAGCCACTGGCAAGTCAGCACTTTCGTTTCTGTCTCAAGGCAATCCTTAAGTTAATTAGCTACGATTATTAGCCCTGCTGCAGCAGAATGCACAGTCACAAAGGAAGGAAATGAAGGCACCAGGGAGAAGCAGTGGGGGGGGGGATTCTGCTAACGGCTCATGGTCACACTGACCAATTAAGCCCTACCGCAAACCCCTCCAAAGCCCAAAGCAAAACTGACCCCAGAACACAGAGACAGCAAAGGACAATTTGAAGTGAAAAATATGTACTTACACAGTGTTCTCTCTAGTGCCCTCCCGCATTCTGAGGCCATGAGATGTCCCCGAAGATGGATTCCTGTGGGAATAAATCACAGCAGGCAAGAAGAAGAGTGAGACTTGTTAGAAGCTTCGGTTGGAAGACTTCTTCTCTTATTAGGTGTGTGATTTGGGGCCAGTCGGTTCCATTACTGTGGAATCAAGATACGGAGACACCAACTTCAAAAGGTATAGGAGCCTTCTATGTGAAGCACTCACCGCCCTGTGCTCTGACTTAGATGTGTGAAGCTGAGTTCCTGGCTCCCCTCTCTGTGACTGGTTCTCTTATTGGGCCAATGTACAGCTTGTTGGCCCTAACACTGTCTTCATGAAGACACCAATAAAGTTTATTTCTGCTGAACTAGGACCAGTGTTGGTCAAATCTGTCTAAATTTACCCATTTTTACAGAGACACTATTATGACTATTAAGTGGTTAGGAGTTGTTTTAGTTTCCTAGGGCTATCATAATAAGGTACCAAGAATTGGGTGGCCAGAAACAGAAATCTATTCTCTCATGCTTTTAGAGGCTAGAAGTCTGAACCAGAAATGTTAGCAGGGCCATGCTCTCTGACTTCACTAGGGGAAAACCCTCCCTCATGTGTTTTAGTCTCTCATGCTGGTGTGCCATAAATGGTTCTCCCTGGTTCATAAACATATCACCCCAGGCTCACTGGGGCTTGCTTCCTGTCTGTCTTCAGGTTGTGTTTACTCTGTGTGAGAATTTCCCCCCTTTCACGTTATACCCACTCTCATGGTTCCATCTTAACAACTCTTATTTCCAAACTACTGTGCTGTGTTACATTTGAAGGATTTGGACTTTAATGTATCTTTTCGAGTGAGCACGAGATGAAATAATGTTGAAGGTTCAACCATGGACATCACCTAAGTCCATGAATTAATGTGAATATGACTAAACTCGGGGCGAGGTTGTGAACCTCCTGACATAAAGCAGCACACAGCAAATGGAATCATAAATGAACAATTTCCATCAGAAGAGTAATTAAATCTGAGCCTGGGTTTTAGTTGACTTTAATGCGTAAGAAATATGGAAAATAGAAGAAAAAGCAAATCAAACAATGAAACAGGCTGGCAAACCACAAATGTACAGTATGATCAAGAGTAAAAAATACTCATAATTGCACTGGTATAAATGAGATAGGCTGCCTCAGGAAGTGTTTGTGATAAGAATATTGAACATGCTAGGTGTGGTGGTGTGTGTTTGCAATCCTGGCACTTGGGAGGCTGAGGCAGGAGGATTATGAGTTTGAGGTACATACTGAGACCCTGCCTCAAAATCCCTAACTAACTAACTAACTAACTATAAACCAAAACCAAAGCTAAAATAACAAACATATACACGCTGTGCGATATTTTATTTGTGTTCTGACAAAGCTTGCTTGGAGTCAGAGGGTGGAGCTAGCCACTAGTTAACCATAGAGGTCTGGAGGTCTGTCCAGAGAGGAGATAGGAAGTGGTAAGGTGGGGTGGAGAGAGGATCCAGGTCCTTTTGGATTGAAGAACAGAAGAGGTAGGAATGGAAGAGGTAGCTGCTCCCCTGTTCTCTGATCTTTCAGGTTTTTACCCTGATATCTGACTCTTGGTCTTTATTGATAAGATTAATTAGATTTATGCTTCATATACATGGAAGGTTGTAGCTCATTCTAAAGGACAATAAACCCAGTCCCTGTTATAAATCAAGAGCATAAGAAAAAAGAAACTGTTCTACACTGAAAAGAAAACTGAGTGGCTGGGAGATGGCTCAGTGGAGAAAGTATTTATCACACAAACATAAGGACTAAAATTTAGATCCCTAAATTTCACATAAAATGTTGGTAGTCATGGTCTACCCTTTCCCTGTATTCCCAGCATTCAGGGAGCCTGAGACAGATCTCACTAAGGCCAGACTGGCTAGCTGAATTGGAAAGCTCCAGGTTCAGTAGAAGACCTTAACTCAAGGCAAACAAGTAGAGAGAGATTGATGAACACATTGTTGATATCAGCCTCTGGCTTCTACACATACATGCACACACACACACACACACACACACACACACACTCAGACATGTGAACATAGACACATACACACATACCACCGGCAAATAGACAAGAAGTATTAGGACCAGATATGCCGTGTAGTCCTCGTTTGGATTCTGATTTCAAGCACTTGGAAACACACTACCATTGATTGGATCATGGAGGATTCGAAGAGACCCTTGCTTTGCAGACATGGGAAGAAGACAGGGGTGATACAGGAAGATGTTCAAATTTCATATAATTTCTAGAGTTATTACACTTCTTGATAATTTTATAGACATTGGCTACCATTCTGTCTACTTTTTAGTATATTTGAAAACATTCAAACAAACACAAACACACACACACACACACACACACACACACACACACACACATACACACACACACCCTAAACCAAAAGAAAAGCATTTCCCCCAAACAGCACATTCTGTAGTTCTTGGTCTAAGACCACGATTGTCCTCTTAATCTGTCCATAGAGTAACACTGATAACTGTTGTACATTGCACTTATTTTCACACAGTTGTAAGAATTTTCTGTGTTGTAGCTAATAATCCAATTAAACCCCAGCAGGCAGATGTCCATTATCATCTCCACTTTACAAAGGAGGAAACTCAAGATCAAAGATTTTATGTCACCACTAAAGAGTATGTAGCAAGTGACTTGAGAAAGCCAGAGTTTTAACTAAGTGGTCTCCCTCTAGCATATTCTGATCCATTCTTTTTATACATCATGTTAGTTTTCCTGAATACACTGAACACACACACACACACACACACACACACACACACACACACACACACACACACACGACGAGAGAGAGAGAGAGAGAGAGAGAGAGAGAGGAGAGAGAGAGAGAGAGACTTTTTGTAGAGCACGTTAGGCTTATGTTTCAATCTCTCCATCTCTGTATGATCCTATTTTCATGTGCATGTGTCTAAGTTACCCATAACTCCTCCCCAGCCTTCCTCCTCTGCTACTAACCTAGTTACCTAGTTTAGTTCTTTGTAATCTCTCTCATCAGAATTAGCTAGAGATGGTGACTCCTACATTTTTTAGATCATTGTTCATGTGGGTCTGGATCAGGCCTTGGAAGTTGTGTTGTTAATAGACATCTGTATGATTTTGGTGGTTTGTTTCCACTGCACTTTGAGATGGAACTGGTGTGTTGCTACCTGTAGCTGGCACCTTACTCTACCAAACACTCCACCCAAGTGAGCTACCTTAGTCTACCCTAATCACCAAGTCTGATTTCAAGTCCCTGTTGTTCGCTTTAGCATGACAGGGGAGGCAATCTGAGCAAATCAACTCAACCTAAACTGAAAATAACTCAGAGCATCTGCAAATTTTCAGTTACACTTTCCAAAGACTTTCAACCAGTTTAGAGATGGGTTCATTGATGGAAGCACTCATATATTGATGACAAACATGTACTGAGAACACACCATGACCTGGACATTGGTGACAGAAAGTAAAAGACTGCTTTTGCAGGTACTGTAAGAAGACAGGGATGTTGTAGGAATATGTCCACATTTCATATAATCTTAAAAGTTGTTCCACTTAGTGACAAGTTTTTGGAGGTTGGCTACCATTCTGTCTACATTTTAGTATATTTGAAAATGTTTCCAGTAGAAATAAAGTCAACCTAAACCATAAGAAAAACATTTCTACTTTCTGAAAAGCTCCGTACAGTGAATGGAATGGCCAATGAGAAAAGCTACCCTGAGCAAGTGCAACTGTACACCTTTGCTTAAATAATGCTGCGTGAAACTAGATAAGGTTGAGATGGAGACCCTGGGAAGTCTTACTGATGTGTATTTTTGGCAACCATAATATCAAAAGTTACATTAAGACAAACATGTTGAGTGAAATAGAAAGGCACCTTGGTGGCCTGAGTTCTGGCAGTGAGCAGGCCAGGTACCATGCTGACCAGAGGATTAAAACAACCGTGTGTGTGTACATGTGTTCATGTATGTGGGCACATGTATGGAGGTCAGAGGATAATGTCTGTGTCAGTCCTTAGTTGAGACAGTGAGTTCTCCTGGCTCTGGCCCACCCCCACCTCACCACAGGAAAGCTGAGGTTGCTTGTAACTACCATGGTGCCAAGCTTGCACGGCTTCTGAGGACCAGATTCAGATCCTCACACTTGCATGGCAAGTACGTTACCCACTGACCTATCTCCTCAGACCTCCAGTCAGGATGCTCATCCTTTCTGTCTGCCATTGCATTCCTGGCTTGGACTGGGGGACCACGAGAGTCCTCTCTAGCTCTGACAGCCTATGAATGTCCAAGCCAATGCAAAAATCCACTCTTGTGAGCCAGAATGTGGGAATGGGCCCTGGCAGCTCATGTTCCCTAAAGAATAATTTTAACTCTTGGTTTGTACGCTTGACGTTTCTTGAGGATGGAAAAATGCATAAAGGCAAACATATGATATGGTCTCAGAATGAGAGTGATGAGTGTTCCAGATCCACTGTACAGTCCTCCCTGAAACGGAGAGCAAGAGAAAAATTAGTCCATGCTATTCATGATTTCCCATCTCAAGCACCATCCAAACAGATTTCAGTCACGATTTGGAAAACTCTGTTGTCAGCACCAGGGATGCATTCGGTAGGCTTATGTAAATTTACTTATATTCAGAAAGTGAAAAACAGTTGCGGCTTACGGTACATTGATTATATAGATCAGCAGGAAAATGAAACAAAATACTAGAGTACAAACTGAGTAACAGGATTGTGAGTGGACTTCCATCTTTTCTAAACTTTGCTGTATTTTTTCTCAAAGTTTCCTAGATGAATAAGTGTTCCTTTCACAATAATAAAAAAAATGCAACGAAAATAATGTCAGTGTTGAATAAAAAAGACATGAACAGGATATCACCTGCTACTAGGTCAACAACATCATCTCTTTCTTTTCCTCATCTATATTTTTCAAGATTACCTTAACAAAGACATATTAATTTTGGAAAAGAACAGACAACAGTTGCGATTGGGGAGGCTGCTC